TGGTAGATCTTTCTCTTCTGCATCTATAGTTTTTTTTTTCTTTTTATTGAGTTTATTGGTACATTCTAGGTATACAGTACAGTTACATTCATTACTGGGATCTTGTACCTTTACATGACAGGTCTTGGTTCTCATTTTTTCCCCTTGTTGCCCTTGACTCTTTTATTTACTGTTAAACACTGGACACCCTTTTGTGACCCTTGTTGTCACTCCATCCCTAGGAGTTTTCATCTACCTCTGGGAGGTATGAATGACCTTTCTTCACAAGCTCCGGTAAGCACCCACTGTGCTGTCAAAGAGCTGAACATTGGGGAAGTGTCCAGCTTTGTCCAAGAGGAAGTAGAAGCGCCGGCCTTTGACCTTCAGAGGCAGCATGGCAGGGACTTCCCCTCGGTGGGCCATGCAGGACACCTGGTTTAAGGGAACAGTCAAACAAGCCCCCAAGCCAAAGGGGGCATGCGTGGTGAGGGTCACCTGCTGCCCTCCAGCTCGGAGCATCACTGAACGCACGGATCGGAGAGAGAAGACCAGACCAGCACCAAGTACCAGGGTTCCTATAGGACAAGCAAAGAGTGAGAGGCACTGGAGGGCTAAGCATCAACCTTTCCAGTGGCCTCCACTAAAAAATTCCTATCACAATATTTTTGAGCACTTTTAAAAATACAATCTTGTGTTAATCCACCCACATTTTTTTCAACCACTTAACTACATCCCCAATGTCTGAATATTTTGAGACAGGGTCTCAGTTGCCCAAGCGGGACTCAAACTTGAGATCCTCCTGCCTCAGCCTGAGTGAGGACACTGTAGGCATGCGCCCCCGCGCCTGGTTCCCAGCCACCTTTTAGTGGACGTCCATAGGGGCCAGGGCTTAAGGAACCTGCTCGGGGCCACAGGGTGGGGGCCCTGGTTTCACTGTGGGGCTTGCCTTACCCATGGCACTGCAGCCTGCAGCCAGCCCATAGCGCCACAACGCAGAGCGCAGGTTCACCCAGTCGCGGTCCGAGGCCCCAGCGTCCCTACCACGCGATGGAGCTGGGGGTGGGGACAGAGCTGCTAGGGCCAGGGAGGCCCAGAAGATACTCTGGCCGGCGCAGAACAGCCCGAGGATGGCGAAGAAACGACTCCGCTCGTGTTCGAAGAGCAGCACATCCCGCGCCGGGGTCCCCGTGTGCAGGGGCCGCGACAAGAGCGAAAGTCCCGCGGATAAACGTTGCCACAACGCCACCATGACCGAGGGGCCACTTCCGCTTCCGGGGCTTCCGTAACCCCACTTCCGGGGCGGGCTTTCCGCTACAGGTCCCACTCCCGCCTCTCGGCGTACCACCCTGCCCCCCGCATGCCCTGGTGGGGGGAAAAAATCAAGAGGACTTAAAACACAATATCACGGTTTATCTTAAAAAGTATGGGGATCCTGGGGTTAAGAACACAAAGCACGTAGGTCCTTCGGGTAGTTTAGTGTCAGTCTACAGAGTAGCTCTGGCTTCCCCACACCACAGCCCAGCGTCCAGGTCTCCAGTAATGCTCCAGGTCTCCCTGCAGTGCTCCAAGAGGCAGTGAGGAGCATTGTCCTTTCCCATCACAGTTGTAGGGTGGCCGCGGTGGCAACGAGGGTGACGACAGAAAATTATGATGACAGGTGATGGCCAGACAGAGGGCCTATTTACAGGGGCTACACTATGCAGTCACTTCATGAATGCGACTTCTGGGATCTCGCCCTTGGCCTGGAAAAGAACCCATGGTCAGCAGGTAGGAAACACCACCCAGCAGAGACGACACCTGGCGCCCTCTCCTGGAGCTGCACCCCCAGCCCTTCTTAGTTGGAGTTTCCAGGGTTGTCCTCCAACTTTTAACCCTCTTGCCTGTCTCCTGCATGCTGGAGTCATAGGCACATGTGCAGTATCCTTAAACCTTACCTTGAGATGAGTGAAGGCCTGGGCAGACCTGGTATAGTCCCAGTTGTTGTCCTGGAGGCACCTGGTGTGCGGGAAGAACAGATGGCACACTGAGAGCCAAAGCACAGCCACCCTGACCACAACAAGGTGACTGCAGAATTCTACACAGACACCACCCAGGTTTCTAAACAGCTGTGCACTGCTGCACTCAATGTTTTGTCTTTAAAATTTTTGGCATTCCTTACTGCCAGCCCTTCCTCAGTTTGCCCATGATCCTACACATGCCCCACACGCACTTCTGGGACCACTCGAGGTTCATGCCAGACTGAGTAGAGAATGTCTGCAACATTTCCTGCTGCTCCGGGGAGAGGGTGGGCACCGGGCTGGAGGATGGCGTGGGTGCAGGCATGGCAAAGGCCCTTTGGATTTCTTCAGGGCTGGCATTCCGCACAAACAGCTCGTCATTTACAATACATAGTCTTGGAGAAAAAAAGAAAAGAAAAAACAAACAGAACAAAACCTTCAACAGCAGATGAGAATGATCCAGCCCATTCCCAACATTATTCTTCTCCAACACATGACACAGTCTTTCCTTTTTTTTCGGTACCGGGGATGGAGCTCAGGACCTTATGCTTGTAGGGCGGTCGCTAGAACCACTGGGCTAAATCCCCGACCCGACACAGAGTCTTTCAATACTTCAGTGTCCCCTCCCACTCTTATCTGTGACCCTCTTACCATTTATTTCTAAGGAGTCCACATTGGAAGGGTTATCACCCCACACACTAAATTACACATCACCCCACCCCATGGGCAGCTGTTACCCATTTGTCTTTTATTATCTTCCTAACAAGAGTTAGGAAATGAATACTGTTACACAAACTTTCAGAGACGTGCCAAAAGCCAGGTGTGGTGGGGCTAGAATGAAAACCTACACAGTCAGGCCCAGGGCCCCAAGGCCTAACTTTCTTTTTTTTTGGGTACTGGGGATTGAACTCAGGACTTTGTGCTTGAGAGCCAGGCATGGTGCCACTGAGCTAAATCCCTGGCCCTAGCTAGGACTGACTTTCCCTTCTAGTTACCACACTGCTGGGCCATGGTCTATACTGAAACCCAGCATGGTACAAGACTCACCCTGAATTGCTGGCAGGAACAGCGATGAATGTCCTGGTGAAGGCTCTTAAAGAATCGCGAGACTTGCCATCCACTGCAACAAGAAGAACAGCGAGCTGGGGATTTAGCTCAGTGGTTCTAGAAACTGCCTTGCAAGCGCAAGGACCTGAGTTTGATCCCCAGTATCAAAAAAAAAAAGAACAGCGAGACCCTTAGAGCTGGTCATACAAGTTCTCAAATCATGGCCTCTGAAACAAAGAACCTTAAGTGGGCCGGACAAGAATGACTGTACACGTATAGGGGTGCAGCATAGTGGAAGGTCAGAGACCAGGGAGAGAGCAACAATAACAAACACTAACTTAGGTTAGAGCATGTGTGAGCCAGGCCCCAGGTAAAACCCTTTCTAAGCCTCTTTCTTTCCACTGTACCACTCCAAGAGGAAGCCACCTTATAAGAAAAGAATCTAAGTCCCACAGATCCACAGAACTAAGATCAGGATGGGAGGACATCAGGGAAGAAAAAGACATGAAGGCAGCTGGGAAGCTAGAGTGCCAAGAAAGATCTCACTAGGGGAGGGATCATGCCACCAAGTCAGGGATCAAAGGTTCTGACCTTCTTTGAAGACTCCATTGACAGAAAAACACAGCAGCGTGCTCTGAAAGAGGGAAAAGCAGCATGAAGTGCAATGTAAGTTTAATAACCAAAGACTGCATCCCCTAGCTCCCTACTCCAATTCTAGGTTTTTGCCAAGCCAGACACATTGCTTACCGTCTGGGCACTTATGTCTACTATGAAGGAATTGATATCATGCTGAGTTTTGGGCAACTCATTGAGAAAGGCAACAACGTTGAGCCGTGTGTGCTTCAGGAGCCGGAACCGCAAGGCTGTGGGAGAGGGAAGACAAGGCAAGGTTGGGGTGGACACGCACTTCCAAGCTCTGCACTTCTTTCTGTCCATGCTCTTCTCCCACCCTGCTTTGCTCCTATCACACACTTACTAGGATCTTTAAGCTTCTTTACATTTCTGCTGTCCTTAAAGTATTCAGCCAAGTTGCTCCTGGGAAGTGGGAGGAAGGGATTTAGAACAGGGTGAGTCAGCAGTGCACTCTGCACCTGTGGGGAGGAGTCCTGTGGCTCTCACCGGGCAGGGTTCTGGGGGATGAAAGGAATGCTTAGTGAACAGCAGGCCCCGTCATGGTAGGCATCCAGGAGCCCCTGGCGGTCCCCAGAGTCATAAATTGCATAGTACCTGTGAGAACACAAAAGGAAATGTCGGTGCACTGCAGCATAAAGTCACAGACAAAGCCCGTGGCCAACCAGCCTCAGGGCCCTGGGTTACTCACTGCTGTAGGAAGTGCAGGACCAGACTCTTCAGGTTCTCTGTTCCGAAATAGCTTCCCTAAAATCAAGGAGACATTAGTACATGGAAGCAGCACTCTCACCCCACATACTGTCATGTCCCAGCCGTTCTCCTCCTCACCTTGCAAGGCGGCAACACTGTGGGGGCTTCCACATCAAAGGCAATTGGCGGGGGTAACTCATGGCCATCCTGTGGAAAAATGACAGCTGAGTATAAATCACAGGGAGAGAAAGGGCTGGATGTGCATGTAGATGGCAGGGTTAATCATGAAAGGTTAAAGTCAGGTATAAGGCATAAAAGCCAGGTTTGGAGGCCCATGCCTGTAGTCCCAGAATTTGAGAGACCGAGGCAGAAACATCCATAGGGCCAAGGCCAGCCTGGACTACATAGGGAGTTCAATGCCATCCTGCACTACATATAGACTGAAAAGAAACATGCAGTATTCAAGAACCCTGATACCTGCAGCTTTTGCCTACAGATGTTTTTCTGGGAATGATTATCACTTTTATCAGCTTCTCAAAAGGGATCCGGGTATTAAATGGCCATAGAAAAACAGGCTCAGCAGGACCTTGGGAGTGGGAGACACTATGACTGTTATGAGAACAAGGAACATCCTGGACTTACCAGGCGTAGTAACTTGGGAAATCGTTCACGAATAGCGCTGTCAAGAACGGGAAAGAAGTGAGTGATACCTCGAGCCTAGAACACACACAACCACACCCAGGGACAGCCCCTCCCCATCCTGCTCATCACCCGGCCCAGGCCCAGCCTACATGGGGGGGGAGGTGATCCCCACTTGCTCAGGCACCCAGACCAATAGTTGGCCCTGAAGGCCAGCTCTTCCTCTACCTGCCAGAGGGTGGCAGGCAGCAGCACACGGCCTGGGCCTTAAGTCCAGGCCCTCCTTTCCCTCCTGGCCCCCCTTACCTTCTACCTACTCACCTGTGCAGCCCCAGGGGGAGGGAGTGGGGTGGGAGCCTAGGGGCTCCGCTGCCTCACCAGGTGTCCATCGGTCCTGCCAGGTCTGGCCTTGGCCAAGACCAGAACACACCACAGGGATGGCACAGTATGTGGGGGAAGGGGGTGGGCAAGATGGGGTCGGGAGAGGTGGTGGTACAGGAGGAGGGGAAGGAAAAGGAGAAAAGAAAAAAGCAGGCTGCGGCAGGAGAAGGGAGTGAGGAGAGAAAGAGGAAAGTAGGAGAAGAAAGAAAAAGAACTACAGGCCAAGAAACATTTAGAAAAGAGGAACACCCTGATGCAGCCCTTTCCTTCAGCTGTCCCTGCCCCATGGTCCAAGGGAGAAACAGAGGAAAATCCTGCTGTAGGGCAGTGGGCGGGAGGGTGGGCAGTGGCCACTGACCAGGTCTGTCTGCTACCTGGGTCCTTATCTGAGCCAGGCATGGGAGGTCAAACAGCCATGGGGGCTGGAGGTCTCCCTCCGAGGGTGAGGGTTCAGGCGCCTGCAAAATTGGGGGGGTGAGGGTCTGTGCCCCACCTCTGTTGGCCCCCAAGTTCTCTCCTGATGGCCCCTCTGCGACTGTGCCTGTCTTAGGTTGTTCCTTCCCTGAGGAATCTTACCCGTCTCTGGCTAACCAGCCATCCTCCGGGGCCAAACAGGGTGATGTGCAGTGTGAGTGAGAGGCAGTAGTGCCCCACTGTTGTTCTGTCTCTTCGGCAGCCTGTACCCCCATGGCCTCTATGCCCAGAACATGCCCGGGGTTCCCCCATGCCTGCTGGTGGGCTCCTGGCTCTTGTCACGTTTTGAGAACCCAGGTTTCTTTTCCATGGAGGACCCACATCACAGAACTGGGCAGGCAAGCAAGACAGATGGATGGCACAGTTCCAGCCTCCAGGGGCCTCGGCGTGGGCTGCCATGTCCAGGCCACAGCCTTCAGCAAGTGGATCAGGAAGAGGCTCCTCT